CCCAATTGTGCCACCAGCTCGAGCATCTGCCTCCCCTTGTACCTGTGGCAGGAGGAGACGGACTCAGGCTGGGGCTGCCATAGCAGTCAGGGCTCCGGGGAGAGGAGAAAAGGAAAATTCATGCCCAGAACTAACCTGTGCCGAAAATAATCAGTGACTAATTTTATATCTTTGTGATTGCCTTTTAACTGTGAGTTATTAAAGACAGGGAGAAAGAAGATTATGTCCTGGTGGGAGGATAAATGAGCGTTGCCATAGAAGCGAAGGGATGCTGCAGCACAGCTCAGTCCGCCTGGACCACAAACCACGAAGCCACGGCAGAGCCTCGGGGGCAGCCGGTGCACTGCGGACAGAGCCGCACCCGTGTGAATCCGAGGCAAGCTGACAGCCTGGGATGTCAGAGAAGACAGATTTGTGTTATCAAGCCAAGGCCAGAGAGTCAATATTTAGCCTGGACGTGGAGAGCAGCCTGTGTGCAGCCGGGCCCCCGGCCATCACGCTGCTTGATTGCCCTCCCGAGCTCTCCCACCAGCGGCTTTCTCTCCGCTTGGTCTCACAGCCGGATCGTGTTTACCCTTCTTTGATCTAACCCCATCCCAGAGACACTTTTATCAGTCTCAGGGCAAGGGAAAACCAGGATTTGGGGGGGGGGTTGAGGGATGAGGAAAGAATTTGCCTCTGGGAATCTCTTTGCTCCTTCTGCCCGGGATAAATAGTCCGATGGAGATGGAGGCTTTGCAGCTCAGCAGGGAACTGCTCCGAGCTAAACATGTGGAGGCAAAAACCCTCCTGGTCCCTCCCCGCTGCAGGAACTGGGTGTTGAAAGGTCCTGGAAAGGGTGAGGAGAGCTCTTCATCCCGTGGCCCCACGCAGGGATGAAGAGGGAAGACGCTTTGCCTGAGCTCTGTGCGTGCAGACGTTGCCCGTTCAGCCCCCGAGTTTTTTCCTGGGAGGCCCAGCTTTCCCACGGGAGGCAGGACCAAGCTCACAAACTTGCAAACACCATGGGAAACATAACTGGGAGAAGAGGAGATTTTTTTTTTTGGCCCATTTATGATTTTCTGCTTTCAGTAGGTCCCTGTGAAGCAAACATGCCAGTTAACAGCCCTGACCTTACTGGAGCGGGAATGAAACTGAGAAAACTGCCCTCGGCGTGTGTGCCCGCAGGCCTGGCACGGCGTGGGGGGGCTGTGTCTACAGCTCCATCCCTTCCTCCATCTGCGTTCAGCTTCTGCAGCACCTTAGTTATTGCGCAGCAAGGTTCACGGCGTGCTCGGTCCTGTCTCTGCCAAAGAGGGGAAATCCCTGCCCTGGAAAGCAGACGGCTGCTCCTGAGTTCATCTGCTGCACGGTTCTAAAGCAGGACTGTGACCCCGTCTCACTGAGTGTCTGGACCCTGGGAAAAGGTTCAGTCCCCTCCAAGATGCCAGTGCCCCGTTTATTCCTCCGTTAGATATTGCAATCAAAGACCTTTCACACCTCAGCTAAAGGAAAACGACAATACTGCAGCTGTGAAATGTCACAGTTTCAGGGTTTTTTTAAAACCTGGAGCCTTTCAGAAGTGGCTCTCCATAAGAGACATGTCCTCAAAGCCTCCAAGACGTCCCCTGGGACAGGCACTTCTGCCCAAGGCTGTACCTGCCCATGCTGAGCTGGGGGCTCTGGGTAACCTTGCACAGGCAGGGCCAGAGCCCGATGGTCCTTTTCAGCTCCCCAAATGAGAGATGCTTCATCTCCCCCCTCCCTCCCATGAGCGGGAAGCTGCGGCGAGGGCCCCATCCCTCCCCACCTCCCCAAGAGGTGCCTGTGGCTGTGGCTGCTGGGGACCTGGCTGTGGCAACAGGTACTGAGGGGAAATCGGAGGGGTCGGAGGGCAAAGGACCCTGCTCTAAACGCTGGCAGAAAGCTGTTGTCACCGGGTTTGCCTTAAGTCCCGGGATTGCTCCTCTGCTCTCCTGCACCACCTTCTTAACCAGGTTTCTGAGCTGCCTCTCTGCACCCCAGCACCCATGTCCATCCCACGGCTGGCTCAGAGACCCCACGGCTTGGGGAGCAAACGGCCCCTTCTCCCCTCTCCGTGCTCTCCAGGATAGGGGGGTTCACAGAGGGACAAGCCAAGTCCCAGGTGCCCTTGAGAGCTGCATCCTCCTGCACCCCCCTTGCTAGCGGCAGCCCCAGCTTTCGATGCCCGGGGGCTAAACTGCCTTTTCTGGGGCTGAAGCGCGGGTGCTCCGGCTCCTGGTGATTGGGTGCTATTTTGCTCCGGCACCGGTCGGCAGCTGTTGCTGTATATTACCCTGGAGAGCCGGAGCCAGCCGGGGGGCTGGAGGCAAGGCAAGGCAGCGGTGGTGGTCGAGCCCCAGGTATGGCTTTCTGTGGCTTTTAACCCTTTCAGCTGGATGTGGGGCAGCCCACGGGTACAGCCCAGGAGGCAGCGCAGGATCCAGAGGGACCGTGGATCGGGGTGGGGGGGGCCACGGCGCTGCCGTGCGAGTGTGCCCAGGGAGAGCAGAGCAGGCGAGGGGACTATTTTTGGAAGTTTCTTTGATGTGAGTCAGCGGTAGAGGCAACCTCAGGAGCTTGTGAAGGAAAAGTCACAGCAGCAGGAGAGCGGAGCTGGTTATTCATTGAGCGACTGCAAATTTGTGCATTTAAGAGGGGATCTGGCAGGCGGAGCGCGCGTCCGAGGGAGCGGGAGCACAGGCAGCGCCGGCGAGGGGATGGAAGGGTCGAGCAGTCGTACGGGAGGGCTCCTGTGCAGGAAGCAGTGGGAGCCAAGGGCTGGAGCTGGGCTCTGGGGCCGTAGGTGACCAGCCCTACCATGGGCAGGGTTGTCCCTGGCCTCAGTGGCCATCCCTGCCCTGCTTGGCCTGGGCGGTGGCTGTGTGCTTGGTTCATCGGCGCTGGAGCTGGTCTGGTAGGAACAATCCCCAGGGAAGCCCGTTCCTGCAGGTGACACGACCTGTCCTGGCTGGGGAGGAGGATCCCGCATGGGCTGTAGAGCCCCGAAATGCGTCCACCTCCTGCCAGGCCATGGACCCCCATCTCCCACCCGGAGGGGACCAGACCTGGACATGGAGCTGGTCAGCTCTGGGAGCGAGTTAACGGGGCGCTTGGAGCCGGGGGGAGGCGGGCTGCCTGCCCGGGCGCAGCGGGGCTGTCCCCGAGTCCCGCAGCCATCGCAGCAAAGCCTGGAAACGCGCCCGGGGGCTGGAGGCGGTTTGGGCTCCTCCGTCTGGGCGAAGCCCAAGGAAGGGAGGTGTGGGAACCGCCCGGCACCCTGCGCCAGGGAGCTGAGCTCAGCCAAGGACTGGGGACTGCAGGGAGGATGTGGTGGGACGGGGGTGTGCTGTGGGGTGCTGCCGCCCAGTGCCGGCGCTGCTGCCCGCTGCCCGCGGGGTGTTTGTTTTATCCCGCTGGGTTTAGTGAGAGTCCCTCGAAGTGGCACGGCAGCAGGTCCCCATGAGGTATTGGAGACAGATTTGGGATGCCCCAAGGGCACCAACGAGCTGCCTGGGCGGGTGGGGAGTGCTCAGAGGCAGACGAGGAAGGACGGGAGAAGAGGTACCTTGTCCTTACCACGAGCTGGTGGCCAGGAGGTGTCAGCCGTGGCTGTGCCAGTGCTGTGGCACTTGAGTCCCTGCAGGAGAGGGCTCAGCCTGGCGGACATGGCTCTTTGTGGTGACATGAAATCACGGGGTGTTCTCGGGCATCGAGGGGCACCTGCCTGGCACCGACCCCGCAGGGACATTGGCTGTGGCCAGGGTGAAGATGAACAGAGGCTTGTGCCTCCATCTTCCTCGTGTTCATCTTCGCTCAAAAAAACTGTGAATAGCTGCGTAGCTCAAAAACACCACGAGCACTTGGGGGAAAAACTCTTTTAAGGAAAAATTCTCCATCTCTGTGCTTTATTTGGGGCTGGGAGCCTCCCTACCCAACGCAAAAGTCCTGGGGCAGCTCCTTCGCTTCCCAGCAGACAAAGGACCAGACTCACCATCACTAAAACAAAACCGAAGACTTTTTTTTTGATTTCCTCTTGAAAGCAAAGACTTTTCAGGCCACGGTTCCCCAGCCAAAAGGTTTCCTCTTATCTATTTGTTTTGCTTCCAATATCGTGTCTCAGATTTCATCCTGGGAACTGGTATTTTTTTCTCAGCATTCACTCTTCCACTGGGGGAAAATCAACTAAATCTGTCTCAAAGAGGGCAAAAATTCCTCCTTCTGGTGGGGGCTTGCAAGGATGTGGCACCCAGATCCCAAGCAGAGTGAGGGCTGCGCTCAGAGGTGCCGAGAGGGCTGAGGCTGCCTGGTGTCGGGACCTTGTCAGTGCATCCTCACCCCCGCCATAGCTCACCCCAGACCCAAAGGCAGAGAAACCCCCGAGGAGCCCGGCACACTCCCCAGCCCTTCGTTGCCTCAAACCGCTGCAGAGCCCTGGGGACCCTCTGGTTTTCTTTTCCACTTTGCATCTGGAAAAATCCCCGAGAGTCATCCCTGAGCTTCACGGTCCTCTCAGGTGGCTTGAGGTCTTGTTTGAGGTCTGGTTGCTCCATGCTACCCAGAGCTTGTCCTGTTGTCTAGGCTACAGCCTGAGCAGCCTTCCAGCCACGTGTTTGCAGGGTGTCCGTGCACACGCTGGGCTATTCGCCCCCCCGTGCGCTTTGGCAGGGAGGTCACCGTTCCCCTTCGGCTGCAGCTCCCTGGGGATATCCAGGATGGTGACGTTTTGGGGCTCAGCAGCCCTACACCTGCACGGTGCTGCTCTTACACCCCGACCTTGCCAGCTGCTGCCACGATGGCTGGGGACCTTTTTGCCTGTCTCCTGAAACCCCTCTCCACGGGTGACCCGGCTGCGCTAACGGGGGGAACGTGGCCGTGATGTCCCCGCTCTGTGGGCCAGCAGGGTGGCAGCGGGAATTCCACACGCCCCCCAGCCCCTGGTGATTCCCACCTCCCCGAATTCACCACATCATGAGCTGTGCTGTGCTTGTCTTCAACAGATGCCGACGTGCCGGTGAGCAGCGACGGGGAGAGCGGTAGAGCCCATGTAAGTGTGCAGCATCCCGGGGCTGGGGGGCGGCCGGGGGGGCTCCCTGTGCCGGGGC